AAAAAAAAGAGAGAACTTTGTACATGCTCAAATGGCTATGCAGTTAATCAAAATATTTTATTGTAYGGCCAAGGCACCACATGCGCACAATAGTACCCTCAGAGCAACAGGCACCAAAGATGCTAAACAGAAACCATAATCATGCTCCCACAAACAGCAAAAAGAATGCAATTGATAGCAATTTTATCTAACTCTGTCTTTCTGGTCTTTTTTGCAGAAAGAGCTAAAATGGCTGCTTTGTAAGTTACATAGTCATTTGTGTCGCTCAGCAAAACCTGCACTGTATCGTCGAAGGCTTTCATGGCTGTAATCACTTGGTTGTTGTAGGTTTTTTCGGGCTGTATGGCCATGTTCTAGAAGCATTCTCTCCTGACGTTTTACCTCCATCCATGGAAGACATCCTCAGAGGTTGTAAAACCTCATAACCTCTGAGGATGCCTGCCATAGATGCAGGCAAAATGTCAGGAGAGAATGCTTCTAGAACATGGCCATACGGCCAAAAAAAAAACCAAAAACCCCACAACAACCCAGAAACTGGACTGTTGTTCCAATTGAGTTCCCTTTATCTTGTGTCAGCCTAAAAGTAAAGTGCCAATGCAATCTGTTCCTGCCCTGTCCAAACGTATTTCCCTCTATTAACCATCTAGGACCTTAAGATCATCTGGGGAGGCCCTGCCCTCGGTCCCACCACCATCGCAGTCGTGTTTGGTGGGGATGAGAGACACGGCCTTCTCCGTGGTGACCCCTCGGTTGTGGAACTCCCTCCATAATGAAGTTAGATCTGTCCCCTCCCTTCTGACCTCCCAGAAAAAACTTAAATCCTGGTTATGGGATCAAGCATTCACAGAATAGTTGTTTTACTGGGGAAACAAGATTTTATTGGACTGTACTTGGACTGTTTTGGATTACGATTTTAATATATATATTTAACTATTTTAATGTATATGAATGTATTTATTATGAGTTTTTTTTATCAAGTTTGGCATTGAATTGTTACCTGTTTGGAAGCCATTCTGAGTCCCTCCTCTGAGGTCGAGAAGGACAGGGTATAAATGCTTGAAATAATAATAATAATAATAATAATAATAATAATAATAATAATAATAATTCCGCTTCACATCCTCCAACTAACTTTAATAACATTCATGGGCTAAGCGCAAGTCAACAGGCAACTTATTTATTATTTATTTATTTCAAAGTTTTATATACCGAGCTTCTCACCTCATAAGAGGGACTCAGCCTGGTTTCCAACCATAAAAACACATACAATCGGTAAAATATCAAAATACACATTACAATAAAACATTTAAAAAGCACATATTTTAAAACTACAGTGGTCAGTCGTCATACTAAAATCGAATATCGAATATACACTGTCTTCCATCCAAATCGTTGTCTCATTCTTCAAAAGCCTGTCTCCATAACCATGACTTCACCTGTTTCCTGAATGTCAGGATTGTTGGGGCAGTTCTGACCTCTGGCGGGAGAGAGTTCCAGAGTCGTGGGGCCACCACTGAGAAGGCCCTGTCCCTCGTCCCCACCAGCCGCGCTTGTGAGGCCGGCGGGACCGAGAGCAGGGCCCCTCCAGACGATCTTAGTAATCTTGATGGTTTGTAGGGGAAAATACGTTTGGAGAGGTAAACCGGGCCAGAGTCGTTTAGGGCTTTATAGGTTAACACCAGCACTTTGAATTGTGCTCGGAAGCTAATTGGCAGCCAGTGGAGCTGGTGTAAGAGCGGAGTGGTGTGCTCCCTGTACCCAGCACACACTTGGAGCTACACCCACAGTAAGAAAAAGAGATGAATGGTAAACAAGCAGCATCCCCATTTCCCAGAAACTCACCAATCAGACCATTGGACGGGATGATTTCATAGGTCATATGAACAGATGCAGAGTGCATTTTCAAATACTGGAGTTTGCACACAAATAACACATAATTGTATGAATAAGTACCAGTGCTCACTCAACTTAAACACTCTCAGAAGGTGTTGAGAACAAAGTCCAGCAACAACCAGACTTAAAAGAGGAGCTAACGAGGTGACCATAGAGATGCCCCCACCTACCTGGTCCATCTTGGGCATCACGGTCTTGTAACCTCCCATCTTGAACCACACCAAATTGTAGAGTTCCTTGGGGTGACCCAGCCATTCTTTCAACAGTTCCATGGAGTCAGATCGTCAAATTTGGGGCTTCCTGGGAAGGAAAAAGCAAGGGCGAAATTCCACCTGATGGGAAAAAGTTAGAATCCCATCCTTCCCAACTTCCCTACCTTTGCTTTCTCACCTATACGTGGCCTCTATGAGAATTTCTCCTATTTTTTTTCCTCCTTTGGCAAAACTCCACTGACAGTTTTCTAGTCCCAATGAGACTACTCCTTCCTGTGGGTGCTCCTCCCTTGAAATGCTGTACTAACCTAAGGCATCTTCCTCTCTCCCTTTTATATCTTAACTTTGAGGAGACATATCACCTAGAAGCAGCCAATGGTGGCTGGCACCCCAAGCCATGGATGCTGATAGGGAGCCTTAGGGCCCATGCGTGCTCACCTCAGAGATAAAATAGCTAATTAAGCCTGGAGATAATTTGTCCAAAGAGTCAACATATATTGAAGACACTTTGACAGTTAAATAACTGTTAATTTTTCCAGATAGTTTTGTATCCTGCCTGAAGCATCCAGGTGAGGGCTTTTTCCAACAGAACAGAAATAACTTGATTTCTATCCCTGATGCATGTTGTGTTTCATTTGCTTACAGATTTATCTGGAATGTTGTATTTAGCACATTTCAACATTTCAGGCTCTCATTGTAATGTACAGGGTGTAAAAATGTTTTAAATGTGAAATATATGAAAACCAAGTTTAAATATAGTCTAAAACTACTTTTTAAAAGTGAAGTAATATTATGGGCAACTGCTGCATGCAACTAATCGGCCCCGGAATGAACAGCCACAGACCCGTACCTAATATTATTGTTGCCTGCCATAGCACTGCACTTAATTGCCGGGCCTCCTAGAATTTTTGGGCATGCACAGGCAGGATTCTTTTAATATATGTGTGTTGTGGCGACAATTTTTATGCTTATATTTTGCTTCTCTTTTAGAATCATAGAATCATAGAATCAAAGAGTTGGAAGAGACCTCATGGACCATCCAGTCCAACCCCATTCTTCCAAGAAGCAGGAATATTGCATTCAAAGCACCCCTGACAGATGGCCATCCAGCCTCTGTTTAAAAGCTTCCAAAGAAGGAGCCTCCACCACACTCCGGGGCAGAGAGTTCCACTGCTGAATGGCTCTCACAGTCAGGAAGTTCTTCCTCATGTTCAGATGGAATCTCCTCTCTTGTCGTTTTAAGTCTTTTAAGTCTGGTTGTTGCTGGCCTTTGTTCTGAACATGCTCTTCCACCAGAAAAACAAGCTCAAGACATCATGGAAGGACCCCCGGTCAAAGCATTGGCACCTCTTAGACTACATAATCACATGTGCCAGAGACTGCCATGACATGCTCCTCACAAGAGCCATGACAGGTGCTGACAACTGCTGGACAGACCACAGCCTAATCCGATCCACAATGGCTATCAAGATCGCCCCCAAGCGCAGACTCCAAGGAAGAAAGACAAGGCGCAAAATGAACACCCAAGCCCTTCAGGAGCCCTCCAAATGAGCCCATCTCCAAACAGCACTCAAGGACCATCTACCTACAGAACACCCCGAAAATGTTGAGGAACATTGGAACAAACTGAAGACCTCCATCATCACAGCTGCGAAGAAACTATTGGATATCAAACCAAGAAACATCAAGATTGGTTTGACGAAAATGACAAGATCCAACAGCTAATTGATAAGGAAAGCCTTCCAAACATGGCAGAGAGATGTTAACAGTGCTGCTAAGACAAATATCTATGCCAGTGCAAAAACCGAGGTCCAAAGAAGAGAACTTAAGAACATCTGGTGGACAAAGAAGGCTGAAGAAATCCAACACCTGGCATATACCCATGATGCTCAGGGATTTTTCAAAGCCACAAAGGTCATCTATGGACCAAGAAACTATGGCATACAGCCTCTATGCTCATCAGATGAAACCAAACTCCTGAAGGACCAAAAATCAATTGCACTACGTTGGAAAGAACACTACAAAGCCTCCTGAACTGCATCTCCAATGTGGCCAAAGAGGTTCTCTCACAAATCCCGCAACAAAAAACCAGGGATGAGCTTGCAGCACTGCCTAGTTTGGAAGACATCAACAATGCCATCAGCCAACAAAAAAAATAACAAAGCCAGCAGACCTGATGGGATCCCTGCTGAAATCTTTAAAGAGGGAGGATCTGAGCTGACACAACAACTCCACCAGCTCATAGAAAAAGTGTGGGTGACCGAGAAAATCCAAGAAGATTTCAAGGATGCCACTATCATCACCCTCTTCAAAAAAGGGGAAAGAACAGACTGTGGAAACTATCGAGGTATCTCCCTTCTAACTTCAGCTGGGAAAATCCTCGCAAGTATCCTTGCAAACCGCCTTCTGCCCCTCTCAGAAGACACCCTCCCAGAATCCCAGAAAGGCTTCCGCCCCTCCAGAGGAACAGTGGACATGATCTTCACTGCACGACAGCTCCAAGAAAAATGCAGAGAACAAAATCAACCTCTGTACATGGCACTGATTAACCTTGCAAAGGCATTCGACACAGTGAATCGCCCTCTGCACCATCCTCCAAAAAATTGGGTGCCCTAACAAAAAAATTGGGTGCGGCTCCTCCATGATGACATGATAGCAACAGTCTTGGATGAGGTGGAATCAGGTGTCAAACAGGGATGTGTTATTGCCCCAACTTTATTCTCCATCTTCATGGCTATGATACTTCACCTTAGAATCATAGAATCATAGAATCAAAGAGTTGGAAGAGACCTCATGGGCCATCCAGTCCAACCCCCTGCCAAGAAGCAGGAATATTGCATTCAAATCACCCCCGACAGATGGCCATCCAGCCTCTGTTTAAAAGCTTCCAAAGAAGGAGCCTCCACCACACTCCGGGGCAGAGAGTTCCACTGCTGAACAGCTCTCACAGTCAGGAAGTTCTTCCTAATGTTCAGATGGAATCTCCTTGTTGATGGGAAGCTTCCCACCAGTGTGGAAATCATCTATCGGACAGATGGCAAGCTGTTTAATCTCAGCAGACTGAAAGCCAAAACCAAGGTTACAACAACATCTGTTATAGAACTCCAGTATGCTGATGACAATGTCATGTGTGCACATTCAGAAGATCTACAAGTCACTTTAAACACCTTCGCAGAAGCATACGAGAAGCTCAGCCTGTCATTGAACATCAAGAAAACCAAAGTGCTGTTCCAGCAGTCACCAGTCAACCCCTCTCCAGTGCCAGAGATACATCTTAATGGTGTAACATTAGAAAATGTTGATCATTTCCGCTACCCTGGCAGCCACCTCTCCACCAAAGTCAACATCGACACGAAATACAACACCGCCTGAGCTCTGCGCGTGCAGCATTTTTCCAAATGAAGCAGAGAGTGTTTGAGGACCGGGACATCCGTAGGGATACCAAGGTGCTTGTTTATAAAGCTATTGTCCTCCCAACCCTGCTATATGCCTGTGAAACGTGGACTGTCTACAGACGTCACATGCAACTCCTGGAACGATTCCATCAGCGCTGCCTCCGGAAAATCCTGCAAATCTCTTGGGAAGATAAGCGGACAAATGTCAGCATGCTGGAAGAAGCAAAGACCACCAGCATTGAAGCGATGGTCCTCCGCCATCAACTCCGCTGGACTGGCCACGTTGTCCCGATGCCCGACCACCGTCTCCCAAAGCAGTTGCTCTACTCTGAACTCAAGAACGGAAAACGGAATGTTGGAGGACAGGAAAAGAGATTTAAAGATGGGCTCAAAGCCAACCTTAAAAACTCTGGCATAGACACTGAGAACTGGGAAGCCCTGGCCCTTGACCGCTCCAGCTGGAGGTCAGCTGTGACCAGCAGTGCTGCAGAATTTGAAGAGGCACGAATGGAGGGTGAAAGAGAGAAACGTGCCAAGAGGAAGGCGTGTCAAGCCAACACCGACCGAGACCGCCTTCCACCTGGAAACCAATGCCTTCACTGTGGGAGAAGATGCAGAGCAAGAATAGGACTCCACAGCCACCTACGGATCCACAAGAATATTGATCATGGAAGACTATCCTACTCATCTAACGAGAGATCGCCTAAGTAAGTAAGTAAGTAAGTAAGTTGTGGTGACAATTTTTATGCTTATATTTTGTTTTGTTAATCTTATGGTTATGTTGTTTTTTACTTTGTATGTTTTGTGATGTTACCTGGGAACCGCCTCGGGGAGATGGAGCGGTATATAAATTATTATTATTATTATTATTATTATTATTATTATTATTACTACTACTACTACTACTACTGTGTGTCCAAGGCGCATAAGTGAGTGAATAAAAAAATGAAAGCACTGTGCTAGAGCTAGAAGAGGGTTTTTAGGCTTGGGACATATTCAAATGATCAAGGCAAAATGATAAGAACTAGGCCTGGTTGATCAAGAAAAAAATTGTTTCTAAAATCGATTTGTAATTGGGGTGTTTTTTTGTTTCGATATTTAAAATAATTACAAAACTTTCAAAAAAAGTTTCGGTATTTACGAAATTTCGTAAATATTTACAAAACATTTTGTAAAGATGGCGGACCCCCGCGCATGCGCAAAAACACTTCCGAAGCTTCGTTATTGGCGCTGGAGTCGATTCGTTAAGGGTATAACGAATCGATTCATTAAAATGGCGGACGCGATCGCGCATGCGCAAAAGCGGCTTCCGAAACGTCGTTATTAAATACGATTCGATTCGATATAAATAATAACGAATCGATTCGTTAAAGCGAATATTTTGTATTTTTTAAGAATAAAAGACAGGTATTTTAAAAAATATTCAAAAATGGAAAATTAACCAAAACTGGCCCTGATGTGGACCAAACACAGCCACGAGACAGGGCAAACGAGAGCACACACCAACAGAAGAGTCTTTTTTTTTTAGAATATTTTTTGTATTTTTTAAGAATAAAAGGCAGGTATTTTTAGAAAATATTCAGAAATGGAAAATTAACCAAAAACTGGCCCTGATGTGGACCAAACACAGCCACGAGACAGGGCAATCGAGAGCACACACCAACAGAAGAGT